TCTGTGCAGCCTGGAAACCATCTCCACAAACATGTCACATTGTCTTCACACTGTCTAAGTGGGAATACTTGGAGGTATTCTGCTCTATGTATCCAAATATGTTTCACTGTACAAAAAAAAAAAAAACCAAACCCACTATATTCAAGCAATTATTTCAGTGACTAGCAGTCTGAGTAAAATTCACATTATTTCCAGTTCTTAGAACAGCAAGTGAAGGAGAAATGCAGATGTTAAGAACTTTTGATCTGAAGCAAAATGTCAACTCACAGGCTTTCAAAGAAATAACATTTCTTCCCAAGAGTTGTAAAAATTGAGGAAAGGAAGAGGTGATAAAGAAATCTACAGAAAAATAATTTTGAATACAATCTGCTTTAAAAAAAAAAGGAAATGTGCTTTGGTGGGACCTCAAACTTGATTTTGCCAGGTCTCTTCCATTCACACTCTATCAACAAAACCTGCAATGCAATGGAGGAAGAAGGCAGATACAGAAGCAAAGTTTTCAATCAGAACCCCAAAGAACCAATGGAAAAATGCCAGACTGAAAAGGAAGCAARATCGTTTGAAACTTGCAAGTACATCTACAAAAAATGAAATTTCACACAATCAGAATTTACAAATGTTAGCTCAAAATACTACTCTTGAGACTCAAATGTCTCCCTTTGACCTTCAAGACTTTACCTCACACTTTTTCACTCAGCTGGCATGCACCAGAAAGTTAACAATTCCATTTATTTACATGCACCCTCTTCTGCAGTACCAAAAAGTATGTCTGTCGTCTGCTTTTGTAGATAACACAGAAAAGGCTTTGAGTAAGCTCTATGGYTTAAGTTAAAAGCCTCGAGTCATTTGCTCACCCCCGACTACTCTAAAAATTCTCTTTTGTACCTGCAATTCTGTTACATCCTCCTATCTTCCTCCAAGTCGCTTTGGTATTTATGCTCTAAAAGGACTCCTGTAGGTACATGGAGGATACCATGAAATTTGTAAGAGATCAATTAAATTCTCCTTTCAAAGCCCATGCTCCCTGAGAAGCAATCCAGGAGTATTTAACCAAATTTCTTCTGCCCATTCAGATGACTAGAGGGCTACACAAACCTCATAAACCCTTCCTGTAGGTTATCAAACACTTCAGGGCCACAGGTCTCCACTTTASGGGCACATTTTGGTGCCACACAGGACAACTGCACAACGAAACTCAACTAAGTGGAAGATGAAAGGAATCACCATCCAAGCACAGAAAACCCGGTGACTGGAACAAAGGCAAAGAAAATGGTTCTTTTGTTTTCCTCCTGTCACTGACAGGTTAAAGTACAAWAGGAAAGAGTCAAGCACAGGGTTTCAGGGCTGCATAAAAAGCCCATTCATCACAATGCAAGAAGTCACATGCATTCGATTGTGTCAGGTTAACAAAGTCACAGCAGGAGAGATTTCTTTAGGAACTCTCACTGCTAGAATTGCAAAGGCAGTTAAGGCAGAAACTCTGGGACAGCATTARGGATGCTGTCCCGAAGGCAAGGCAATGCAGGATGCTACAGGAGGGAACCACCTGCTGAAAAATGCCTTATCAGCACATARTCTAAACCAGACAAATGCTTACTATTTCTCCGAGTCACAGAAGGCTCACCACTCACCTGCCACTATACTAGCTGCATGTTTAAAGACAGTAAGATGTGTACCTTTTCCGTGTAACTGGTACTTGGAAGAGGGGACAATCTATGAACATATTTGCACTCTAGGAGAGAGCACAGYTATGGGATAAAATACAGACTGAGAGGCTCAGATATAAAAGGATATTGATTTCATATGATTTGTATCTTCTCATAGGAATCACTATAAAACTGGCAGAAGGATGCAGCTATTTTATTATTATTTTGAATAAGCATGTTCAATATGGCTAGTAATTCTTTGCTACATGTATTCACGGAATGCCACAATTTACAGAAAGGAGATCTTTAACCTAATTTTTAGCTCACAGCTATGTAACCTCCAAGGTAGGTTACTGGGGCCAGGGTCAAAAGCCCCAGAAAAAAAACTTTTTACGAGTAAATCTTATTTTTAAATATAATCTACTTTTTTTCCACAAAAATGCTTTGTTACTAAYGAGAACCAATATTCTGGTCCATAAAAATTAGAAGTATGTAGTATACAATGCAAACTGTGAAGAAGATGGAAAGTAATTCTGAACATAATGGCATGCTTCCATGCTTTTCTCCTTAGCAAACACTATTAAAATAATTCATCAAAATCAACTACTACCTCTTAAGAGCTCAGACTGCTTACTTCTACAAGTGGAGCTGGAACTGGATACACAAGTAGAGAAAAGAATCTTGTATAGTAAGATTTTGGAGAAGATTTTATATAAGAGCTGTGAAGGAAAGTAGGGTAATAGGAGGTAATGGGAAAATAAACAATGCAATATTATCACAGGATAAAAATACACACATTTTTATACTAACCCCTCAAATCTTAGGCCCTGTACATTTTAGAATACATATTTATTATGAGACAAACTTTTCCTAAGTAGAAGCATTTAAAAGSAAATTAAACTATGATGATGGTTCTACCATCAAGACACTACACAGCTCTCATCCACTTCCCTTCTCCAACAAGAAATAGTCAGCATCAGCTCCATAATGGCTGCATTTAGCACTAGAACACTGACGCAGTGGGCACTGCTGAGACCTTTCATAAGGCTATGTTTAGCTTGAGTGCCTGAGTACTATTGCCACCTAGCCAAGAACAATATCTTTATATTACTGTTATCTAAACATGAACCTCTTCCAGACCAGAGGAAAATCATGCTCTTGAACTTATAAGTCACGCTAATGAACTAGTAAGTCTCTCTGCTGAGACAGTTGCACATAGCCAGAATGCACAGCAGAGCAAAAGAGTGAATCTTTTGAATCCTAGCTGACATTTGAGCAACAGCTGTGCTGAGACTTACACAAGACAGAGGAAGATGTATGGCATAATGTGTTTTCCAGATTATTTGGAACACTGCGGAATATCACGTAATAAAGGCYATTTGGCAAGCCAATATTGGTATTTTTGACAGCAAAGTGTTTTGGGATGATCCATTAGAAGCATCAATGATTCAGCCTTTTAAGACAAAAAACAATTTAAAGACCTAACACCAACAAAACCAAGAAATCACAGAGGATGAGAATAAAAGGCTGAAAAAAAACCTCAAAAAGCAGGAATTTCTCAGGCATTTATGCCTGAGAAAGTGATGCAGATTAAGATAGAACASCAAGGCCCAAATGGCACAAACAAATTTCTGTGACAGCACTTTAAAAGACCAGGAAAGAGAAAAGAAATCAAACACAAGAAAGCCAAGTATTTGTTGTGAGCCAAAAYGAAACAAACACAAACTTCTATTGGATGGATGAAAGAAAAAAAACAAAAAACCAAAAAGATAATATATGCTAAGAATGCCTGAGAGAATGTAAGTATTTCAACCATTTCATTTCCAAAATGTAAGAATTAAACACTGATTCATCCAGGTAATTTCTATTTAGCTAAGCAAATGTACAGAAGGAATTACAGCACATAATCAATTACATACTTTTACTTTGGGTATTCCATTCACAGGCAACAGGCAACTCATTATTCAACTAGGAAAGTGAGAGACAAGAATGAAAACAGCCTTCAAAACAGACGATCCCAAACACACCAACAGATAAACATGTAAGTTCAAAATATCTGCTACCACAACTCAACTTTTCTTTTTCTAACCAGTCTTGGCCAAGACTTTGCACCCTAAACACATGCTACACAGCTTCCACAAAATGGAAAAAGACCCTTGGTATTTCCCTTATCATGATGCTGAGARTATCCTAGAGAAGTTATAGCAATACAACTGTGAGTGTGCTCTTAGCTTACTAGACATCAATACCAATCCTGACTTCTCATTACAAGAACGCTCAGAACTAAATTCTGTAAGAGCTCCAACTCATCGAGTTGAGACAGGCAAGTACCAGTTCTCAWGTCAGCTGATCCATGACAGCGGGACATGCACGTACCCAGAATTTGTGGCAAATGCAATTACAGCCACAGCCCAACATACATTAAGTAGCACCAGCATGTTTTTGCTGCTGGCTAAAACCACACAGTTGCTGTGCCYGAGCTGATACAGTAAACTCATTAATCCATGATAAATTGTATAGTGAGCCTAAGAAGAATGCCTCTTCCACTTAACTATGCTGATATCCATCTGAATATATCCTGAGAGAAGCATTAATCAGAGTTCTGGAACTCTCTAACCAGAAGGTACTTTTCATGCAATGCTTGAACACCTTCTTCGYAGAACACCTAATTTAAGCTATATACGCCTTTCCACATGTTGTGGCTGCTAAAACTTACAGAGATTCATGCACCAAAAATTTAAAGACATTGTCACCAGCTCAGAGAATCTGTRAGCCACCAACTGCTAAAGTCTGAAAGAGTGTTCTTAGCAAGTAGCATAAGGTGCTTCCCCATCCTTGTGCTCTTCCTTGTGAGTCTGTTACTGGCTACTGTCCAGGACAGGGTATCGTGCACTGTGGATGTTTAGTCTAATTCCAGCAAGAATGCTGGCCAACAGATTTTTCTGTCCTAATTGTCAAAACAATACTAATTAGCTAAGGTTATGATTACACTCAGCCAGAGTCAATACAACTTCTCCTTTCATTTATAATTAATTGAAAATTACAGAACAAAAGTCTTTTTATACAAGCAGCATCTCRGCAGAGAACAAACCAGTTACAAGTCCCATTTCTTTGAGGACAAAATTAAAACATAAAAGCTGTCAAAATTACAGTTATGCCCAGTCTCTTCACCCAAGTTCCCATCTATTCAACTGAATACTTCTGAAATCTTCCTGGTATCGTTACAATCATTTAGCAGGCATTAAAAGATTGTAGACTCACGGCCCACATTTCTGAAAGTTATTTAAAACACTGAAGCACTTATGTTAAAACTTGTTTTTCCTAGCAATACTAACAGGTAATCATATGACTTACATTTTCCTGATCAGAAGACAGCGGTGGCTCCTCTAAAAGAAGTCTCTTTTGAGAGCTGTCTTCTTCAAGGGCCGCCTGTGTTGTTGCAGTGTCAGACATGTGTCCYTTCCTGAGCCGTAGACCTGGCTCTGGAGAACCAGCATTATCGAGTTCCGTTTGTTCATTCATGAGATGCTGGAAGCCTTCTCAAATATTTCCTTTCCTCTTGGTTCAGTTTGGATGATTACGTCTTGACTCTGAAAGACAAACAGCTTGTGTAACTCAACTGAAGCTAAAAAGARGAGTGCAAAAGTTGGCTGGAAGAAGAGCTTGCTTAAAAGCTACCAAACAGCTACAACAGCTTCTTTTATATGTGCTCAATCTCCCACAGGACCAATTACACAGATTTCTACACTGCTGGATAATGAATTCTCATCTTGAGACCACTAACAATTTCATATCCTAACACAAGTTAAACACAACTTTGAAAGATGATAGAAAAGTGAGCTTCACAAAACAGTAAATCTACAAAGCCACAGCAAATTTTTATGAATTATTTCTACAAAGTTACAAGCACCAGGCTGGTAATACTATCTAGAAATAAACTACTTATCACAAGTACTCTATAATTATTGCATTTTTACAGGTATGAAGCTCATACCCAAGCTCAATCATCCAGACCAGGTTTCACCAAAACTAGGACATTAAGCACTGGTAACAGCAATCAAGCAAAGATCAAGCAGAGCTCAAGCAGCAACTAATTTTAGACAGACTGCAAGGAGGGCAGTAGTACACAGAGTGATTATGCTTCTCTTGCTTAAATTAATGTGGTCACAATCACTGCCGGGAATRGGTTTGTACCTTTCCTTGGGCAAAGAATTAGAGCAGACAAATTTAAACACAGTTCATTTTGTCAGAGCAATCAGGAACAGGTAAATCCCCCACAAAACAATAACATATGATTTCCATTCAGAAAAGTAATTGCATTTAACACTTACAACACTGCAAAAAGGATTCAGGGTAAATTTAATTCTAAATGCTAAAGATTTTATCAAATTTTAAAAATTGATGACAACTGTCTAGCCCTTATCCAAAAGTATTATTGGTTACCCATTTGTTTTGTACATGACTGTGTGGTGGTCACTTCAAGAGATAACTGTCTTGACACTGGTAGCCTTGGGATGCACAATCTCYAGAGAGCTTTGCAATCTGAGTACCAGAATGTATTACCAGAAGGAAGCCACAGCTGAGGCTTCAGAATCACTCTGAATGACAATCTATTCGTTTTGCACTAATCACTTGGTGTCATTCTTATTACTGTAGCACCTAAGTGCTCAGATGTGACTAACACATAACACCAAGACAGCCCATCTAACAGTTTTAAGTTTTAACTTGCCAGYATGCATAATTAAATTGGAATTTTAGTGTCCAATAAAAGATGCTGAAATTTGTCAYAATGTAGGAGGGAAAATTAAAAATATAAGATTGGGAACTGATATTGGCAGTTTTGTAATAAAATGTCACCTCCAAAAAGCCAATAAATAATGTATTCTGTCCTTACCGGAACTCAATTCATTTACACATGATCACTGCAAGATAATTCTCAGCTCTGACAAATGGGCTATAGTTAATTTTGCTGCAGCAGTTTGTAATATTATACCCCCTCAGCTGCTTGGCAATCCTCAGAGGAGAGAGCTGCTAATGAGCAGGTAACAGACTCTGCAGAACTAAATGATAGCTCAAATTGTCTGATTTCAGTACAGCACACTGCTTTAATCACCCAAGATACTAAGGTGACAATCTGACGGTAGAGGGTAGAGCAGATGGCATCTTCACCCTCCTGTTACCTTCACTATAGGGTCAGCAGCCTCCATCTGAGAAGCAACATCTAAAATGGCCACAGCTGTTTACTTGGTAAACACAAGAGGCACAGGAGAATTAAGATGAGGTTTAGCAACATTACACAGGAAGCTCAGTGAAGAAGTTGAGCAAGTAGATTTGTTCCTGCAAGAACAGGAACAAATATTTAGAAAGCCACAGAACTGTAATCTTGACTGTTTTTGTCATATTTCAAGCAGCCAATTCACAATTCTATTTTTATGCAAGAAACATGAAGACATAATCACACTGCCATTTGGCAAAACTGATGTAAGAAAGAAAAGAGTATGCAACAACAACTACAGTTTGAAATTAAGCTAACAGGCATCTTAATTTAAAAGGTAACCTGTAAGAGACTAATTTCAGTACAGCATWATGCTGGGTTTGGCTGGGGTAGAGATAATTTTCTCCCCAAGTAACCACTTACATGTTATGGAGCCTGGCTTTCCTGGAGATGGCTGAACACCTGCCTGCCCATAGGAAGTGGTGAACAAATTCCTTGGTCTGCTTTGCTTGTATCCACAACTTTTGCTTCACTTATTGAACTGTCTTTATCTGAACCCACAGGTTCTTTCTTTTACTTCTAGGATTCTCCCCCCCATCCCACTGGGACAGAGTGAGCAAGGAGCCGTGTGGGGCTTAGTTGCCCGCTGAGGTTAGACCACAAGCACACTGAACCAATCTGAAGCTGCAGCTAAAACCAAAAGAATGCAAGTGAGCTGAGCAGCTGTTTATGAACAACAGTTACACACTGGCACATCCMCATACCTGATACTCCACACATTTCACACAGGTAGTCAGCAAAAACAGCCCTGCTTAGTTCCACAGATTGGGCAATYTCATGAGACGTTTAACCAGCAAGTTTTACTAGTTCTTCTTTCTGCCAGATTTAAGCAATAGCATTGCCACTGTGTGCTGCATTACCACCTATATTGCCTAATGGCCTGTCCTTGCATCACCTCTGTGACATTGTGGGAGCAATGCTCTGGGACACAGTGCAACCACACAACTGGCTGAACCACATTTGGCCAAGATGCTTGCGAAAAACAGTTCTAATACAAGAAGATACAGGAATGCCAAGAGACTTTTACATCAGGCCTTGAGGATTTACTTCACGAGGACTCGCTGCCAAGCATTCACTAAGGTTAAAAATAAAAAATGCATTTCACCTCCAGCAAGTCAGATTTGCATTGAGCAKTAGAGCTAAATTTCAGAGCTCTGCAGAAATGGAAGTTGTTTCTTGAAATTACAGTGGGATTGTTCAGTGAACTCAGATGTTTCCACGTCATTCACGCGSGATCCTCTTAGTGCTAAATATGCTTGCCCTAAATGAGCATGCAAAGGTAAGCAAGATAAAAGCTAATCCAAAARCATCACTACTGGGTTTTAGTTCTTTTTTAAAATGTACTACAATAGCAAAAAACATATCACTGAATGCAACAGGAAGCTGCCAACAAAGAAGTGCTAATAGCCTGAAATACTTGTYCCCAAGTGAAAGAAACCCGTGAAGATTATGAACAGGAAAAGTATAGGTGGTCTTCAAGTTCTGTCATAAGATTTCTATGACTCACATTTCAGTGAAGGATAGACTTCCTAATTTCATAAGAAAAGGTTATGTATGGTCAGTAGCATCTAACCAGAAGATAACTACATTGTGAGGAGACTTATTGCCCCATTCTGTCTCAGACTGCACAGTTCACAAAAACAAAAACTAGAAAATGAAAAGCTATAGAACACTTGAAGTCTTGGAAAATATTGTTTTGTGTTTCACTGAGATCATAWATCCCATAAATGAAGTCCTTCAACATTTTTTCTACCATGCAAATTAAAGGTTTCATTAAAATTAGCTTCCATTTAAAGAGGAAGTTGCCATTACGACTTAAAATCTACTTAATGATGGCATACATAATATCAGCATGTAGATGAATCAGTGAGTTCCTGCTGTGCTTAAAATGAGCTCAGAAAAGCATCTACAGAGTTTGGTCTGATGGATTTTTTAATACAGAAAACTTCTAAATGCTCGGTCAGCTTTTAGAAAGGACTTGCCAGTTTAATACAAGCAGAGTTCTAAACATTCTATAAACACAAAATGAGCCACTCATAGTCAGCTCACTGTGCTGCTGCCTTGCCACACACCGCCTAGATTAGCCCAAGCTGCTCCCTCCAGCCCAGTTCAGCAGCACCAACCCTGAGGACAGTCAGTGCCAGCTCCAGGCTCAGCCCTGCCACCTTTCCAAACAGAACTAGAAGGCAGTATTATTTCAGCATTCACTGCAATTGTGCAATGTCACAGGAGTCAACGCCCACAACTACAGTGTATTTAGGACACTGCTTCACTCTTAAAGATGATAAGGAAAGACTAGTTACACAAACTGAAGCACCACAGGATAATGCAATTATTCTCTGTAGGACACTCCCTAGGATAAGCACTATAGCCCTTCTAACCTCCCRGAATTCACCTGGCACAAGGACTGATTTACTGCCTAAGCTAAATGATGAYGCATGGTAGTAAAACAAAGAAAACACATTAACAGAAATTTTTCTAATCAAATTTAAAAGATCTGCCACTCCCTTTGTAGGATAAAACACAGTCCTGAATGGTCAACTACCTCCCACTACCCCTAAGCAAAGCAATCTCTCCAGTACTCAACTCTTGTCAGTATCTTCTYTATAAGCAGCACCAGAATGATCCTCAAAGATRYTTAATTCTGCCTGTAGCTGGTATGGAAGAAGAATGAAAATTGCATCTCCCTACAATCCCCTCTCAACTGCCTTACYGGCAGAAACTTTCCAGTTCAGGYAGGCAATGGCATCCACTCTATGCTCCTTCCTTGCTAAATGCTCTTCCGAAGCATCCATTAAAGCAGCATAAACAATGTGTAACAGTGGATGATTCTTCCTAAGATTAGCTCGTTCCCCTTAACAGAACTTGAGTTATCAAAAGAACCAAAGACCATMATGAAAATTTCAGGCTACATGTTTCTCGGAACATTTATTAATGCTTAATGTTTAATGAAGGGCTTGAGTACCTGAAAAATCTTGTAAGAGATGTTATATCAATCTACAAGCTTCTCCTTGCTCCCCATGTGCCATGACAGCCACAACCATGCCAGAGGAATGGCAAAGCTGATTGAACAATAAACCAGTGATRGGCTAAATAATTCTATCAAATCCCAAGCTATTTAGGCAAGGCCTCAGTAACAGAATAGGCACAAGAATTCCATTCCCAGAACTGTTAGCACAGGTACAAATGGCAGAGCACTTCCACTACAACTCACGGAATGACTAGTTGGGATAAAAACACAGCTTACACAGGCTGATGGGGAATTTTGTGCCTATGAAGCAGTTGATTCTGGTTACCTTGAGTGAAATAACGTAT